CCCCGTCGCGCGCTCCCCGCACCCTGACCCCTTCGGGCGAGAGGTTGAGGTTTCAAGCAGTCGCCTTCCCAGGATTTAACGCCAGGGTCAAGAGTGTGCGTGGGGAGGGTGTTGGGGGAAGGCGGTGCAAACCAGAGGAGCTGAGCTTTGACTTGTGGCCAAGAAATAAGCGACGCGGGCCCTCCGGGCAGCAGAGAGGAACCGGGGGCTCTATCGCTTCCTTGTCGTCCATCCCCAGACTTCAGAAGGAAAGAACGAAAAGTCTCAAACGATGGGGGCGCGGACCCCCCTCCCAACCGAGCGCACAGTTGTCACCCGGATCGGGCACCGGGGCGGGGGCGGGAATGGGGTACTTTCCTGGCCTCACGGTGGCAAGCCGGCGTGGAAAAGGGCGGGGCGCCCCAGCCGAAGGAGCGGTACGGGTTTGGGCCGGGTGGCTGCGCAGGGGACGTAGGTGGTCTGTCCCTGTCCGATCTGCTCTGGCGGTGCACCAGGCGAGGCCAGGCTTGGCCCGGGCTCTCTAGAGCGGGGATGCGTGAGCCGGGCCAGAAAGGACGCGGGCTGGGCGGGTGCAGGAAGCTGAAGCCGGACCCAGGCCCGAAGTGGGGCCGTCCCTCGTAGCTCCAGCTGGCGATTTGAAGGGCTCTCGGCGACACAGTATGAAGCAGTGGGAAATCACCCCCTTTGACCCAAATGCCCTGTTTGGGGGTTTTCCCTCGCACCCTGGCCTTCCCCACCCTCGTCTTGGGAGGAAGCCGAGAGGTTTCTTCCTGCCGCACCTGCCGCTCTGGAGGTTTAGCCTGTCTGCGCGGCGAGGAGGCAGGGCCCAGGGAGTGCCGAAGTCAGTCACCTGCAGAGGGCGGGATTTAGGGTCACGCCTGGTGCAGGGTACCCCTTGCTTTCTCCCTACGCTGGGTGTGGGGTTTGCAGGGAGACCCTCTGACCCAGGCAACTCGAGGGGTAACGGGGTGTCCAGCTCTGCCACTGCTCAAGCCACAGGCCTTTTCCTACTCTACCCTCCCCGTGCCGCCCACCAGGCTGTTCTAGGGGCCTCTCCTGGGACTTCAGCAGGGCCCTGGATTGACTGTGGGGGACTCGCCACCCCAGCAGGGCTCCAGGGCTGCCTCCTCTGGATGCTTCACCGCCTGACCACTTGGGGAGGCTTCTCTAGGTCCTCAGCAGCCCACGCCCCTCTGACATTTCCACAGCCATGTTTCCAGGGCTCAGAGCCACCATCCTAGGTCTGGGGGGATCCCTGAATTTGAAGACAGGCAGGTGTGTTCAGACGTGGAAATTCAGATCTCACAGGCATGGGGCTGGTCTGAAGCCAGTCTAAACCCACCTCTGGACGAGCAGGATTGATATTGAGCCTGGTCCCTGTCAAGGGGAAGGACCTGGCTGCGGTGGAATGGCTGGGGTGGGGGTGGGGGGTCAACAGTTTGGCTTTAGGGACCCACATATGAATTTTCTCCGCCCACTCCCACCCTCCCTCAGCGCATAGTGAGTCAGGTTTCTTAGTTGTCCACTTTCATTTCCCCTGGGGCTGGGTGGAGGCTGGTGTAGGAAGAGGAACTGAGCCACAGCCCTCTGAGGGGGGAGGGAGAGGGCTGGAGCCTTCCCACCCTCCCTGTCCGGAGCCGCCAGCTTTACTCTTCATGGGCTGAGCTGGGCACCACTCTGAAGCCTGCAGAGGGACATTCTGGCAGCCTGGAGGTGGCACGTAGCAGCCACAACCCAAAAGGTACTGGGTGGGGAATTTCAGGGGAAACTGAGGCTCTGTGATCAGTAGACCGGCTGAGCAAAAGTTAAATCCTCTGAGGAATGGGCAGTATGATTGCTCCCTCTTCCTGGGCTCACACAGTAAAGGGCCAAGGGTATTGGCAAGAAGAGGAAGGAAACTGCCCAGGAGTGGAGAGGGGCAGGAGAGGCTCCAGCCTGAAGTTTCAGGTTCTGGAGAGTGGTTGGGCAGGTGAGGGGAACATGAAGTATCTCATTTGTCCTGCTGTCTTAACCTGAGTGAGGCAGGAACTGTGGCCTGGGGAACGGGTCACTCTCTATAGGGAGGTGTACTCCCTGCAGTTGTGTTGTTACAGGCCCACAGACATCAGGGGTTTCCTAAGTACTGAAAAAAAACTGGCATGGTTGATCCTACCTGTAATCCTAGCACTCAGGAGGCTGAGGCAGGAGGATCTCCTTGAGTTCGAGCCTGAACTACACAGGGAGACCCTGAGCCTGTCTCAAAAAAACCAAACCAAAAAAACACTCAAGTGCTGAAGAATGTGTCCAGTAGGAGGAGGAAGGGCAGGGACAAGATGGCTTCATGGGGGTAAGGCCTAAGCTTGGAGGCAGCTATCCTTGCTGGAGGTAGTTTAAGTAGGTTGATGGGATTAATCTAAGGAGTGATGGTGGGGGCTTCATCTCTGAGGAAATCTGAGGGCAAGTGGAAGCTCTCAGAACTGAATTTGGACACCCTTCCTCCATTCCCGTGTTCTCTGTTGTTTCCTAGAAACTCGTGGTGGGATTCTTGTTTAGAGGATTTGTTGGGGAGATTCTCAGGGGAAGGAGGGTGAGAAAAACAGAGAGAGGAAATGCTGAGCAGGTTTGGGATGGGTCAGTCTGATCCTAAGGCACACTCATTGCAGCTATTAACCCGCCTTGCAGCAAGAGGGCCAGACTTCCAGCCCCGCAGTCACTGTTGTGGCCGCTCCTCTGGAGCGAGGTGAGGCCTAAGCTGTGAAGGGAGGCAGCTGCAGGCAGTTCTGGGGCACATGGGAAAAGGATGCCCCAGCCCGGTACAGGGCATCTGGGGTGTTGGTCCAAGCATCTGCTAGTGCTGGGATCTCTTCTTTCCTTCCGCTTTCCTCCCCTGCCCCCAACACCAAGCACAGACTCAGGGACCCTGTGACTTGAAAGCTGATCGTTGGAAAGGAGAACTGGCCTTGAACAGCTGGGTGGGCCCACTGTCCCTGGGGCAGGGAGTGTTTAGCTGCCAATCTGCTGAGCTCCTGTCCTGGCTTTCCCTGCAGACCTCTTTGCCATGAACCCACCGCCCCCTGGGGCTCCCTCTCAGCCCCGCCGAGTGCGGCTAAAGCCCTGGCTGGTGGCCCAGGTGAACAGCTGCCAGTATCCAGGGCTTCAGTGGGTCAACGGGGAAAGGAAATTATTCTACATCCCCTGGCGCCATGCCACAAGGCATGGCCCCAGCCAGGATGGAGACAACACCATCTTCAAGGTAAGCCCTGGGTGGGTGCTGCTTGGATTTACCAGCACCGCCTCCCCTGGAAAGGGACACACCCACACTCTTCTCAGGGCTGGTCGTTTTCCAGATACCTTGCGTGGCCCTACTTTTCAAAAAATGGTGGAGGCACACATACTCTTTGTACTTCATATTTCTTGAAAAGCACTTGTCAGTATATAGTTTCCTTCACCCTGGGGCCAGGGATTTAGCTCCACACCTGCCTCACAAGTGTAAGGTCCTGAGTTTGATCCCTGGTGCCAAAAATAAATAAATAAATGAATAGAATAAAAAATAAATTTAAAGAAATGTTTCATTCCTCCTACCCTCCCCCCACGTTTGATCCTGTGAGTTGGCTGTAATTCAACCAGCTCTCATGAGGGACATTGGATATTATGGGTCTCTTGCTTTTAGAGATGGCACTGTAGTGAATAACCTTGAATAGGCACAGTTTTGTGTGGATGCTGTTAGATTCTGTATGATTCTATAGAAATCAAATTACTACGTTAAAGCATGGAAACATTTACCTACTTGTGGGAGGCTCTTAGGAACTAGCCCCAAAGAAATAATTTAAGATGAATAAAGGGTAGGGTTGGGGATTTAGCTTAATGGCACCATGCTTGCCTCACAAATGCAAGGTCCTGAGTTCAATCCCTGGTACCAAAAAAGAAAAGATGAATGAAGGATAGCAGTTAAGCATCCGTGGTGATGTGGTTTTTAACACTGAAATTCCAAAATAATACCAGCCGTGGGTGTAGCTCAGCGATAGAGCAAGTGCTTAGCAAGCACAAGACACTGGGCTTCCAGGGCTTTGGCTCTGCCATGATACACTGTGGAGCAGTGAATGCGGATGCCCCTCAAAGCAGATTTCATTGAGCTTGTTAGGACCCCAGGAGCTGGAAAAGGGCCAGGCCCTAGATTCCTATTTTAGTAATAAGGCTCTCAGCTCAGCAGGGCTCAGCCAGTAGCTGAAGGCCTTTCCTACAGGACAGGAGGCCGCCTCCTCTGGAGGAGGCAGGCTAGAGCTTTGGTGAGGGCCAAAGTTCTCTGTGATCAGCTGTCTTTTCTTCCTACCCAGGCCTGGGCCAAAGAGACGGGGAAGTACACTGAGGGGGTGGATGAGGCAGATCCAGCCAAGTGGAAGGCCAACCTACGCTGTGCCCTCAACAAGAGCCGAGACTTCTGCCTCATCTATGACGGGCCCCGGGACATGCCGCCTCAGCCATACAAGATCTACGAGGTCTGCTCTAACGGCCCTGCTCCCACAGGTATCCTGCCCAGTCCTGTGTCGACCACCTGAGAGGCTGTGCAGGCAGGAAGCCCCTTCAGCCCCTGCAAGCAGTGGCCAGGCTCCCAGGGATGGCGTAGAATGGGGTCCGAGGTCCTGGTGGTTCTTCCTCACCACTGCCCTTGTTCTGGGCTCTTGGCTTCTGGGAGGTCCTTACAGTGGCAGCACCCTTCACCTCACCGTGTCTTGGGGGCTGCCTAGATGGGCCCAGGCTGGCTAGGCTCTTGCTCTGCCACTGACTCCCTTCCTGTCCTCTTCTCTCCCTTGCTGTGCAGAGTCCCAGCCTACTGAGGATTATGTGGTTCCAGGAGAGGAAGAGGAGGAGGAGGAAGAAGAGGTGTGTGTGGGGAGGGGAGGGGTTGGAACGGGGTTTAGAGAGTGGCCCATGAATGAGGTGGCCCTGCTTTAGGATGGAGCAGTCCCTTCCTCTGGAATATCCTCTTGGGTAACGAAGGGTAGGGACAAAGTGTCCACCCTATTTCTCCCTATTGTCTGACCTGCAGGCCAGTTGGGCTTGATGGGTGCTGCTATCTGCAGAAGGAAAATGAGAGAGATCTTTCCTAAGCTGCTCCAATGGCAGAGCTGGGACAGGAGGTAGGGTCTGGCCAGAGCTGAGCCACCGAAGCTTTTCCTTGTCAGATCAGTTTACTAATCTGTTCTTCCTTCTGTCTCTGCCTTCTTCCCTCCTTGCTTGCCTGTAACTTCCCTTCAGCTTCAGAAGATGTTACCAGGCCTGAGACTCACAGGTAGGCTGGGAGGCTGTGGCTGGGGGTCTTGCATATGGAGAAACCACAGGTACTAGGTTGGAGCTGAAGGGAGGCAGGTTTGCAAGTCAAGAGGGCCTGGGAGACAGTTCCTAGGGGTGGCATTAACAGGTCTGTCTACTCCACCTTCTGTAGAAGCAGTGCAGCCTGGTACCTCCATGGCGCCCTATTCTTTACCGAAAGAAGATGTCAAGTGGCCACCCGTTCTCCCACCACCTGTGGGGCCTGCTTTGGACCCCAACGTGCTGGTCCCTGCACCTGGCAACCCCGCTGGCTTCGGGCAGCATCTCCCTGAGGTCCTGCCTAGTCCTGAGCCCCTGGCTCCCACCCTGCCCCCAGCAAGCGAACAGCTATTGCCTGACCTGCTTATCAGCCCCCACATGCTGCCTCGTAAGGACCTCCCTGGGTTGGGCGGGCTGGGCAGGGTAAAGCAATGCAGGGGGTTGGGACAGGGTCTTCAAGGAAAGCAGAGGCTGGCAGAGAATGGAACAAAAGCATGTGGATACCCTCCCTGGCCCAGTGCCCTGTGGGGAAGAAAGTGGGAGAGCTGAGGAGGCCTGGGCCTGCTACCTGGCTGCCGAATGGGAGACCCATGGCTGGGGTGGCTTACCCCTCTGCCCCACAGTGACTGACCTGGAAATCAAGTTCCAGTACCGGGGACGGCCACCCCAAGCCCTCACCATCAGCAACCCACAAGGCTGCCGGATCTTCTACAGCCAGCTGCAGGCTACCCAGGAGCAGGTGGAACTCTTTGGCCCCGTAAGCCTGGAGCAAGTTCGCTTTCCCAGCCCCGAAGATATCCCCAGCGACAAGCAGCGCTTCTACACGAACCAGCTGCTGGATGTCCTAGACCGTGGGCTCATCCTCCAGCTGCAGGGCCAGGATCTGTATGCCATCCGCCTGTGCCAGTGCAAGGTGTTCTGGAGTGGGCCCTGTGCCTCCATTCAGGGCTCGAGCCCTAATCCCATTCAGCGGGAAGTCAAGACCAAGCTCTTCAGCCTGGAGCAGTTTCTCAATGGTGAGGCCCACTCGGTTCTTCCTGGTCACCTCTCACCCAAGGCATGGTTCTAGCCTCTGACCAGGGTCTTTGATCTTGATGCAGACCTCATCCTGTTCCAGAAGGGACGCACTGACACCCCACCATCCATTGAGATCTTCTTCTGCTTTGGGGAGGAGTGGCCTGACCGAAAACCCCGAGAGAAGAAGCTCATTACTGTACAGGTGTGTGTCCCTCACCTCACCTTGGCTTGAATACTGGGGAACAAGGCCAGGGCTCACTTGGCAGTGCCGACTTGGCTGCCAGAGATAATCAAGGCTGACTGGAGGAGAGGCATCTACTACTTGTCCCTGGTAGAAGCCCTCATGCACAGCTGGATCTGGCAGCCCTGCCACAACTCTCCCTGTCCTGTCTCCGCCCCCAGGTGGTGCCTGTTGCAGCCCGGTTACTTCTGGAGATGTTCTCAGGGGAATTTTCTTGGTCAGCTGACAGCATCCGACTGCAGATCTCAAACCCAGACCTCAAAGATCACATGGTGGAACAGTTTAAGGAGCTGCATCACATCTGGCAGGCCCAGCAGCAGCTGCAGCCTGTGGCCCAGGGCCCTCCCGTGGCAGGCCTGAGTGCTGGCCAGGGGCCCTGGCCCATGCACCCCATTGGCATGCAATAATGGGGTGGGTAGTGGCTGTGCAGAGTGATGAGACAATCTGGTAGCCCCAGCAGGCCTGGCTGGCTGCAGAGTCCAATGTCTGGATCTCCTTGAGGTGGATTTAGGCCCAGGATAAAGAAGAGGCCTATGCACCTGTTATCCCTGCAGAGCTTTGCTTGCAGGGCTGGCTTCCTGGGCCTGCCTCTCCTGTGCTCCCTCCACTGGCTCTGGAGAAACCCAGCCAGCAGTCTCCCTGAGCAGGGAAGGAATGCCCCCACTGTAGGGCCTATGTGTGCAGGGTGGATTGCCCCACGGCGCCCCACTCTTGTGGTTGCTCCATTTCCTCTGGCAAAAAGAGCCTGAGAATGCAGGAGATTTAGCTCAGTGGTTCCACTGCCTGCCTTGCAAGTGCAAGGTCCCAAGTTTGATCCCCGGTACCCACTCCAAAAAAAGCTTGAGAAGCACTGGGGGCCAGGTCCCACTGCTTGGCCTCTGCAGGGAATGGGCCTGATTGGAGGTTCCCTAGTTTGAGCCTCACTTTCCCATCTTTCTCTCTCAAGGTGAATATAAGCCTTTAGACATCACTTAAGGCTGGCACTACCTGCTGCCTTCTTCAGAGTTTAAGAATCTGGAGTAGAGTGTAGATATATTTTTGGATTAAAAAGTTAAAAAACGTATTTGGCTGGTTCTTTACTTTTCTCCAGTGGTGTGGTCTCCATGCTATTCTTTGAGCCTCTCAGGTACCAGCTGGCCCCTCTAGCACCTGTCCTTTAGCTTTGGCCACTGGCATGAGGACTGCCTGCCTTTCAGTCACTAAGTAAGCTGGGCCTTCACCAACACTCACCTGGCTGGTTTTGCTTCCAGGAGGAAGATGTCCGAAAAGCTGTCCGGATTTCCCATTGTTTGGGACCATTACAATCTGTCATCCTCGTTTTTGTATGCTATTATATTAATATAACATAATTATATTATATGATACATGCAAATTAGCTCATCATTTGTTTTGGGTTTTTTTGGTACCGGGGTTCAAACTTGGGTCCTTGTGCTTACGAGGCAGGCGCTGAACCACTGAACTAAATCCCCAGCTCTAGTAGCTCATCATTTGAATCTAGCTCACAGGTGTAATTATGTCTTGAACAATCTATTGTAATTTTATTTTATTTGCTTTCTTTTTTCCCTGGTACTGGGGGTTGAACTCAGGACCTTGTGCTTTCCAGGCAGGTGTGGTGCCACTAAGCCAAATCCCCAGTCCTTGCTTGCTTGTTTCTATGACCAGGTGTTGCTACATAGCTCTGGCTGGCCTAAAACTATGTAGCCAAGGCTGGCTTTGAGCTCGAGGCAATTCTGCCTCAGCCTCCTGAGTACTGGGATTACAGGCATGCACCATGACACCTTTTTTTTTTTTTTTTTTTGGTACCAGGTATTGAACTCAGAACCTTGCGCTTGCAAGGCAGGCAGTGGATCACTGAGCTAAATCCCCATAGTGGGTCTTTTCATTATATAAAATTTTAAACATTTGCAAAAATAGGGAGAATGGTATGAAGTCTCCATGTAGCAGGTCTAACAATTATCAATTCATAGTTCATCTTTCTCATCTAAACACCCATCTATACCATAGCCTCCTTGAGATTATTTTGAAGCAAGTCCTAGAAATAACATTTTATGTGTAAATATAAAGCATATATCTCTAAAAGACAAAGACTTTCCTTTTTTAAAAATTTTGTGGTGCTAGGGCTGGGAATTTAATTCAGTGGTACCATGCCTGCCTCCCAAATACAAGGCCCTGAGTTCGATCCTTGGTATGGGGAGGGATGTGTGTGTGTGCAGATTTTGTGGTTTCACATGTCAGGCAAGCACTCTCCTCAAGGCAAAAAACAAAACTCAATTCTAAAAAACAAAACCTAAATAAATAAATAAATAACAAAACCAGTCATTATTGTACCTCCTGAAAAGAGATTAATTTTTGCATGAGGCTTCCTCTGAACAGCATTTAGGAGATAGGAAAACTGAATGTTAATATAACCATGATCATAATAAAATTATATCTATAAAAATATTTTTGAATGTGTGTGAGGGAGGTTGAGGCAGGAGGATTGCCGAGAGTTCGAGGCCAGCCTGGAATACATAGCAAGATGCTGTCTCAAAAAACAAAAACAAATGTGTGAGAAAGTAGGGACTGAACTTGAGACTGCTCTCTAGCACTGAGTTACACCCCTAGCCCCTGAAAAAATTAATTTTTATAAAAAATTTAGAGTTTAAATTTTAAGGCAATTTGAATTTTACACCCTTTCAATTTGGTAAAACAGCACAGTTTTAGATTGCATCTCATTTTGTCTCATATATCCTATAAATTGTTACTTAGATCTGGACCCTGGACTCTACAAGGCTTACTTGGACTCAGTTTCTCGGTTTAGATATCTATTAGCCCTAAATATCTTCAGGTTCTGGGCCAAAGTAAATGTCATTTTGTCAGGAGTGGTAAAAATTCTTAAATATGGAGGAGTGTCTTGTTTCCCTATAGCCAGCCTTACCAACAGAATATACTGTCAACTTTCTGGACTTCTATCAGTATGATGGGTGAGAAATAGTATTTCAGTACATTTCTCATTATGAGCCAGGCGAGGCACCTTTTTATATCTGGCCTGTGTAGATTTAAAAAAATAAAACAGGGCTGGGTGTGTAGCTCATTGGTAAAGCACATACTTTGCATGGCCATCATGCTAAATAAGTGAGGAAAAATTTTAAAATAGTTTAGCCAGGCATGATGGTGCACACCTGTAATCCCAGTACTTGGGAGGCTGAGGAAGGATTGTTGTGAGTTCAAGGCCAGCTTGGGTTACACAGCAAAACCCTATCTCAAAAACACACAAAACAACAATAACTTTTAGATTTATGGCAAGGTTGTTAGGCGTTCTTGTGTCCCACACCATATCCCCAATTGCTAACATACTATGGAAGATGTATCACAACTAATACAACTATATGGATACAAAGTTATTAGCTAAACTTCATTTTTTATCCCAGTTTCATCAGTTTTCCTTTTTTTGGTTCCAGAATCCTGAAATATTACATTTGTCACCCTATCTTCACCTCCTTTAGTTTGTTTTTTTTGGAACCAGGGATTGAACTTGGGTCCTTGCACTTATAAGGCAGGCGACAGAACCACTGAGCTAAATCCATGGTCCTAGTTTCTAACTTTCTTGTTTTTGATGGTATCGATGGCTTTGAATATTGGTTGGCATTAATCAAAACATCACTAAATTTGGGGTTTATCTGATGTGTTCTTCACAGTTTTTGTAAGGAAGACCACAGAGGTCTCAGTGTCGTCATAATCAGAAGAACAGGGGATAGGGTTGTGGCTCAGTGGTGCAGGCCAGCAAGCTTCCCCACATACACTACATACGGTCAGCATAATTAGTCTGTTGGTGTCAACCTTAACAGTTCTTCCACTGCAAAGTTACCCTCCCATGCTTTTTCTATACATCTAAGGGTTTCAGAATGGTTAACCTGTGCCCCCTGAAGAAACTACCAACTAGAATGAAGTACTTGTCTACAGCTCCTTTTATGTTTAGTCTCACTTTTCAATCATTTACAAGGCTAGCATCTTTTCCTCCCACTGGCCTGTACAATTCTATTTCTTCTCGGCAATGAAATTGGTTGTCAATGTTTTCAAATTTGGGAGGTCTTACGCATTTGCCAGCTTCTGGCTAACAAATGGTGATATGGAAACACTGTCTCATATTTCCCTAAGGCAATAAGCAGCTGCAACTTGAGACAGTTCCCTCAACTCAATACAACCTTCTCCCAGCCTGCTGCCCTCCTTTCATTACTTGCCTTGTGCTTGAAGGCATTTGAGTTTGCAGCCCTGGATGCCTGGTGGGAAGCATTATGTGACCACTGGTGGACTGAATCTCCAGTACCACTGCTGGTCCAGTAGCTGCCAAAAATCTTCCTTGGGTTTGTACTTACTTTCTGACTAAAAATAAATGAAAACCACAAACCTGTTCCTATTTTGTGTTATAGTAGCCAGGACTCTGTACATTGCAATTCACTGCTCTTAATAGTGACCTCTGCTGGTGTTTACTTAGAATCCACATATGCCCTGGCCCTGGGAATGAATCCATCTCTTCAGCAGTGAAGTCTTTTTTCTCCAGTTCCTCCTCTCCACTAAATTCATCTTTTCATCCAATGAAGTGTTCCCTTTTACTCAAGACTCCTTCCTCTCATTCAGCTTCTCAATGACAACAGGAACATACCTTTTCAGTCTCTGCAGCGCAAAGAAAGCTACTAATGACTTTTCCGTTTTAGGAGCAACTTTTGTTTTGCTGGTAATATATTCCCAAAAGGGCACACACCTTGTTGCATTCTCTTAGACTTTTAACTTCTCTGAATCTTGGCTCTTATCTTTGTAAGAGAATTCACTTAAACCAGGACTACACAAAAGGGACATGTACATTATATTTGTGAAGTGTGATGTGGTTCAAAAGCCCAAGTTCCTTTATGTCTTAGGTATCCTTATCAGCTTTTTATCTTTATAATCATTCCTTTCAAATAGGAACATAGAAATTACAAATCACCTTTAGTGATTTTTTTTTTTTTAATCAGTACCAGGGATCAAACTGCTTGTGGAGCAGGCGAGGCAGGTGCAAAGCCACCGAGCTCAATCCCCAACCCAACCTTTTAGTAATCTTGAAGGGAATTTTCCCACTGGGGGATCTGTGCTCTGCATAAGCAGGACTAAAATTTCTTGTCTAATACAATCATGGAACAGATAGTTCTGTGGGGAGATGATTTAGGTAAATTCCGGTGTGATTAGCTGACCTGCACACATGCAAGAAAGATGCTTGTTTTACTTCCCCTATATAATGCTATCCAAGAACACAAAGTAAACTGCTTTATAACAGCCCCCCTTTTTTTTTCTTTTCTTTTTTGTACCAGGGATTGAACTCAGGCCCTTGCGATTGTAAGGCAGGTGGCAGAACCACTGAGCCAAATCCCCAGCCCTCTTTTGTTTTTTTTGAGACAAGGTCTCACTATGTAGTTCAGGCTGGCCTTGAACTCTCTATGTAGCTGGCCTTAATCTCACAGCAGTCCTCCTGCCTCTGCTTCTCGAGGGCTGGGATTACAGGCATGCGCCACCATACCCTGCTTTAAGAGCCTTTTAAAATCTGTAAGGTTCAAAGAAAGCAGTGAGTCCCAAACCATTAATAACATAGGGGTCAGCTTTCTATAGCTACACCTATAGACAGAACACCCTTTTTTTTTTTTGATGCCAGGAATCGAACTTGGGACTTTGTGCTTGTGAAGCAGGTGGTGGAACCACTGAGCTAAATCCCCAGCCCCCAGGAAACTTTTTTTGGTACTTGGGATTTAACTCAGGACCTTGGGCTTGCAAGGCAGGTGTGGCACCACTGAGTTAAATCCCTGGTCCAGGACATTCTTGACATTAACTCAGATATGCACCCCACATGCTATTTTTCAGTGGCTAGGGAGGGTTGTTATTAAGCCTTTGTTTTTCACTTCCAGATGCAACTTCCTATGAAAAAAGTAAAATTCTTTAAAGTCAACTGGTTGTTTCAGAGTTAGATTAGGTTTAATTTTGTTTAACTGGAGCATGACAAATGGCTGGGATGATGTGCTGATCCACAGGATCTGATAATCTTACCTCAAACACTCACGTGTTTTGCTCCCCTTCTAGCAATGACTTTATAGAGAAAAACCCAAGTATTGCAGATTGTATGCTAGAAGGCTTGTTTCACCGACTCCCAATATTGTTCTTCAGCTTGAAGATTTAAGCCCAAGAGTGAAAAAGTTAAAAGTGACCTACATGGTAAAGGCAAAGCAGAGAAATGTCAGTGCCAACAACACTGTCAGATGTATCAAAACAGATGCAGTTCAGCAGTCAGCTCAAAACCCAATTACCATAATATACTATCTGATCCCATTCTAGAAAACAAAATAAAAGGAAAAATCTAATCTATTGAGCCAGGAAACAGGCCAGTGTTTACCTGATGGTATGGGGATGGGAAAAGGCAGGAATGAGGAATTTCCCAGGGGCTCAAGGAGATTTTGGGGGTAAAGAGTATATTCACTGTCTTGTTTCCTGGGTATATCAAATTGTACACTTTAAGTATGTGCAATGTATTGTTGTCAATTATACTTTAATAACTGCGGCTGAGAGAATACAGAATATTTCTGTCACGAAGAGGAACCCCTGCACCTTTCCCACTGAGCTGGCACGGGACGGCAGAGTGCAACACGAGGAGCACTGGGATGAACCAGGACTGAAGGGTGCAGAACGAGCTACCTCCCTGAGGGTCTGCGGCATGCCCAGACATGTACTAGGTGCCAGCTAAGGATGCTTGCTCAGCTGCTCTAGGCGAATCAGTTCGGAGATACAAGGCAGTAAATGAAGTAAAACAAGGAAACACTTAGTAAATTTTAAAAATTTATTGTTTTTCCTTTTTTGTTGTTGTTGCTGTTGATTTGTTCTTGAGATGGCTACAACACCAGGCAGAACAGTGCCCTCACATCTAAAGGCTGTGAAGGGCTGTACTCCTTCAAAACATTAGGATCTGTTTTGGGGTTCCCTCTTCAGCCTTACCCCTCAGAAGTCAATAAATGTCCACACTTTTTAGTGAAATACAATTCACCTTGTAAACATTTTTTCTTCATACTCACACCCTTTTTCTCGAATGTCTGTGGGTAAATAATTCACTTTATTTCTATTTATTTTTTGGTACCAGGGATCAAACTCAGGACCTTGCGCTTGCGAGGCAGAGGCAAAATAATTCACTAAAAAAAAAAAAAAAACCTTAAAAAAATTAAAACAATACACATTTGTATCCTACCTTACCCACCCCAATTTGGCTCTTTTCTCCAAGGCTGACAACAACCTCATGTGGAATGGAAGGAGATTTAGACAGAACAGAGCCAAAGCTGGTTCTACATGAATATGAATTTTGACCCTGTCTGGTCCTGAGAATCACCAATGTGACCATGATATAAAGCAGACTAGGCCATTGGAACAACTCTAAGATGGGAAAGAAACAGGGAGGAGGAATTTTTTTAAAAATTCATTTGAGAGGGAAGGGGAAGAAGGGAGGGTAGGAGAAGGAAAGAAGACAAAATGATAGAAACCTTCAGAGATGACTCTGACCCTTTACTTTCACTTGCAGCTATTTTAATACATTAGAATTCCCACATTTTTCCTAAGTGAAAGTTTTGTTTCACAGAAAATCCTCACTTTTGGTTTTCTGTATGTGCACTGCACATGAGCGTGTGAGAGTGTGTACATTTGTCATTTGCTACCAGGTGAATGTTTCCATTTAGTTTAGTTTTCTTTCCTTTTTTTCCTTTTATTTCCTCAAAATCATTTTTCCTTTTAGAAACAAGTTCACCAGAAAACCAGCTACCCTCCCACCACGCCGGACAGGCTGCAGCCATCTTTTTCAAACCGTGCTGATTTCCCCTCACACCCCCAAACAGGAACTCCTCGGGATGCCTGGAAGGCTGGAGTCTCTCCCTGTCTGGCGGGATGCCCTGGGGGCAGTGAAGGCCCCTCTGCCACAATGGAGGTTTCTGATTGTGGGACACAGTCTGGGTTTTGTTTTCTTCCTGTCTTCTAATTTAAAAAGACATTCCTGACAAAAGAGACAAGACAGTCAGTAACTGTGCTCCAGAAGACAGCACTGTACAGAAGCAACTTCAAGGTAGGTTTCTATACTTGCTCAGGTATATCATTCTGGATTCTGCCACAAAAACTCATTAAAAAAAAAAAAACAAAACTTGGATTTTCAAGCTTGTGATTTCAAAGACGCAATCACTTTCATGAAACACTGCCCTCAGTGCATCTCTGATGCTGAGCAGACTGCGGAAAGCAGGGATGCTGTATGGGGATCAGGGGAGAGCCAGCAGGTTCAGACCTTCCATTCCAAACCACCCAGTAAAGATCCACTTTGGCCCACTAATTGCTGAGGTCTCATATAAGATATCATTTTGAAAGGAGGCTTGCCTACCAACAAATTTTGAAAGCCACTGACTTAGAACTCTAGGGAAACAGTAGTGTGGAGAGGTATTAAATTAAATGGAATGGTTAAAAGTAAGAACTTTGGCTGGATGTGGGGGTGCAGGTCTGTAATCCCAGCACTTGGGAGTCTGAGGCAGAAGGATCATTGTGAGTTCAAGGTCAGCCTGGGCTACTATAGTGAGACCCTGTCTTACCTTCCCCCGCCAAAAAAGGACTTTGGTACCAGAATGTCTACACTTGCATTCTGGCTCCCCCAATTAATACCTGTTGACATCAGACAATTTGTTAAATGTCTTTCAATTTCAATTTCCTCACTTGTAAAATGAGAACAGTAATAACTAACCAGAGGACTGTATGAGGTAATATAAAGTACACAAAGTAGTGCCTGATACCTAGTCAGGGTTCAATCTTAGCTATGAACATGGTATAGCTGTCCACAAACAGCCCTCTGAGGTGTACACATGCAAACCAAACTTTAGTAATGGTGTAGCAAGGGACTACTGAATGTCACTTTGACCTATTCATGTGCTTTTCATCGAAACCACCAGTGAGTACCACAAATTCAGAGAGAACTGTGGTCTGAGTAAACTCTCTTTATACATCAAAGGATGGGATTAGAAGACAGTTGCTTTTTCTCTCTCAAGTCAAGAAACCAGCAGCCAAACTCCACCGTTCAGACCATTCCTCAGCTAAACTTGTTTTGCAGCAGAATCAAGAGACAGGAAGCACAATGAGAAAACCAACCAGAAGCTAGCCAAAAAGGCTACTTTTCTCTCCTGTAACTCCTGCCCTGATAAAAACCTGACATTTTAGCACTCAAAAGAAGTGGAAGAACAAGCTCCTTGCTTGTTAAATCTGGTCAGTTTTAGGAGATTGATGCCATGCATCACAGTCAACTTGAGATCAGACTCTCATTCTTTTCACAAAGTAGCCAGGTTAGAATTACTTGTTACCACACACACCTATCATCCTGGAAGTGTCTTAAAGGGGAGAGGGAAGGTTTTTGACACATTCTGCAATATCAACTTTCTTATGGAGGTGAAAATGGCAGCCAAACACACTTACAATTATCTGGCTGCCCTGGTCCACATTTCTTAGCTCTTTCTCTAATACTAGCTTAGAAAGCTGGAATAGGCATCACTCACCTGGGTGACAGGCACAGTGTAGGAGTGTGAGCTATCGAAACAACCTGGTGAAGTCTCTCAAAGCCCAGCAAACTTGCTTACATTCCTCAGCACTGCAAGAGAAAAGGTATGTGTCCTTCACTGAGGAGAGAGATACAAACTGCTGAGAAACACAGGCAACACTGGCACTCGCTGAGGACGGCCCCAACTCTGCACAGAGCACTCCCTACCTTCTCTGGACCCTGCTTCAAAACTTTCTGTAACTTGGTACAAGTTAACTATTATAAATGAGAACAATTAGAAACTCGCTGGTCATGAAGAGTGTGGGCTTTAGAGACAAACTCCCTAAGTTTGAATCTGAGCTCCACTGTGTCCCTGGGCAAATCACCAATCACAGCCTCAGTTTCCTCATCTTAGAGGAAATTTAATTCTTAGAGAATTAAATTTGTTCATATAAGCAAAGCACTTATAATGACAGAGCAGGGAGGAAAATAGCATTCAGTATGTGGGCAGTTATGACACTTGACTTGAAGTTCCTCACACAAACATAGGTTAGCTAAAACCCCAAAGTAGAAGGCAAACATGTTCACCTATGACTGATCACTTTAACTCTGAACTAGGTGAATTTAAGTACCCTAGTTTCCTCATTCTCTTCCTAAGGAAGGTTCTGTTTACAAAGCTTAGTCCAACAACGAAGTCTCTATCAGTCATGGATTTTTAGTTCAACAGACCACTCAGGGTCTCCTCTTCTAGGAGGAAGGGGCCAGAGAAAGGGTTAAGGCACACAGAAAGGGAGGAGTGAGCAGGACTCGGTCCTCACAAACCCTGAGATACCCAGGCAACATGAAGAGCTCAGTAATCATCTGGCTCTGCATTTCAAAAGGTTACCACTGCCCAAAACTGTCATCAGGAAGCCAATTGATGCCAACTTCATTGCTTTTTATATCTTTCTTCATAATGGATATTGTTAAATGAACCTGAGGCTAAACTAAAGAAGTAGAAAGGCACTCTCTTAGTTTCTTTGATGCTAAGACACAATACCTGACACTCTCAAACTAAAGGAGACAAGATTTACTTTAGATCATACTTCAGTCTGTTGTTGTCTGGCACCAAAGATAGGATAGTAAGACACAGTGGAATGGTGGAAGGGCAGCTGCTCATGGCATGGCTGACAGCAAACACAGCGTGTTGGGTGTACGTCTAATCCCCTACTCAGGAGGCTGATGCAGGAGAACTGCTGAGAGTTCAAGGCCAGCTTGCACTACATAGTGAGTTAAAGGTGAGACCCTATCTCAAAAAAAAAAAAAAAAAAAAAAAAAAAAAAAAAAAAAAAAAAAAGGCAGAGAGTGAAGCAAGGAGCTGGGAGGGAGATAACCCCTTCCAGGTCACATCCCCAGTGACCTCTTCTGACAATACCCTGCCTAACAAACAGCAAGTCACCTATAAGCCCCCATAATCCATTAACCTCTCCCAAACCCCACCTATGAGCACATGAGGCTCTTGGGTACCTCTTGATGTAACATTCCATCCCTGGCCCCCAAAAGACTCACGCATATTCCTTTTTGCAAACTGCATTTAGCCTATCTCTAAGACTTGCCAAAGTCCTAACAGTTACAGCACTGCTGAGAAGTCCAAGGGCCAAGTCTCCTCTGAGATACAAAGCAAACTTTTAGCCATGAGCTCTCTGTAAAAATCCAAAGAAAGCTAAACCGCTGGTACTGAAAAAGAAGAGAGGAGAGAGCAGAGAGGAGAAAGGCAAGCTAAACACTTCTCACATACGATGGCAAAGGGTAAACATTCCCATTCCAAAAGGGAGAGAAATGAGGGACAGAAACCAGTGGGACCAAAGCAAGACCGAAACCTAGCAGGGAAAACATTATATCCTGCAGTTCTACGTCCAGCAACCAGGGCAAGTTGTAGCAAGATGTGAACATGAAAGGGCTTGGGCAGTGCTGCCCCTACGGCACTACTGTAGCCCTCATGGCTTCTCTCTTGGGCCAGCTCTGCTCAACTCTTGCAGCTTTCCTCAGACGTTTCATGTTCCAGGATTCTCCAGCTTCCTGGGGTTTCTACTGCACTTCTGACTTCACATTCACAGCTTCATACACTTCACTCTCAGGGGCTCACTGCCTGGTCTTCCAGACCTCCTCCTCTTTAAAAAAGTTTTATTAGTATTCATTTTTAGTATACAATGTCTACATTCCTTGTGTGGACTTAGTGCGTGCACATAACACACCTTAATTTCTTTTGCTTTTCCAGTACCAGATATCAAAATCAGGAGCTTGCACTCATGAGACAGGTACGGTGCCACTAAGCTAAATCCTGGCCTACCTTAATTCCTTTCTACACCTCCTTTTCCTCCTTCTCTCCACCTCCTGAACCCCCTTTTCCATTTGAAAAAGATGTATTTCCCTACTTCCTATTGTCTTTTATAATTTGCAAATTATATGCAATATTTAAGCTTGTATGACAGATTTATTTTACTTAACATTATGGTCTCAAAGTGCATTCATTTTTCCTACAAATGACTCGTTTATCCTTTTTTATGGCAGTGTAATACTCTAGTGTGTGTAAATCCCTTACCCATTTATCTGTCAATGGACATATAGGCTGCTATGTGTATACCACTCCAACATAATGCTCCTTTTTTGAGACAGGGTCTAAGTAGTTCAGTCTGACTCTGAACTACTATGTAACCCAGGCTGGCCTTGAACTCATGATGATCTTTCTGCCTCAGCCTCCTCAGTACTAGGGACTATAGGCATGTCCCATCATGCCCAGCTGTAATGTGGTATCTTTAACTCTTTCAGGAAGATACCTAGAAGGGGAATAGCTGAGTCAAATGGAATTTCTAGTTTTATTTTTTTGAGGAATCTGTTGATTTCCATGATGGTTGTACTAGTTCTCCCCACCCCCGACAGCCTCACCAGCATCTACTATTATTTGATTTCTTTTTTCTTTTTTTTCTTTTTTTTTGGTACCGGGTATCAAACTCAGGTCCTTGTGCTTGCAAGGCAGACGGCAGAACCACTGAGCTAAATCCCCAGCCCTTGATTTCTTAATGATGGTTATTTTGAAATGGGGGTAGAAGCCTGGCTGATCCCATAACTCTTGCATTCTACAAGCCTGTGAGACCACTACCATGTGGATCGCACCAAGGTCTGCAGCCAGCTCAAGCAATGGTCAGAACCCCCTGCAATCATGGCTGCAGAGGCCTTGGAGTTCTTAGATGGCTAAGCAGTGTGAACAGATAGATCCCTGGATTCCCAGGGAAAAATTTCCTAGGTGGCCATTCTCTAGCATAGTGCCCTGGGGCTTTCTGCTTAAAGCAAAGCCTTTTACTTTTGCAATTCTGAGCCTGTAAAGGATAGGGTATTGTTGGTTTTGGGGATGCCCTCAGGTCATCTTTTCTATTGTCCAGTCATAAAATACAGGAGCTTGTAAGGGGGGTAGTTTATAAAGTACCTGACTTTTTTTTTTTCCCTTGAGACAATCTTTCTTAGTTCAGGCTGACCTTGAACTCATGGCAATCCTCCTGCCTCAGCCTACTGAGTGCTGGGAATACAGATGTGCAACAACATGCCTGGCTTAATCTTTTCAGCAGCCAAGCTCTCCTTTGTCCAAACTGTATAGGTCCAGATTTTACAGGAGTTTCCCTTCTGGTGAAACTCAAAACTTAAAAAAAAAAAAAAAAAAAAAAAAAT